ATTCGGAGCATAAGCTATTGAAGGAGTCAATTAATTTAAATATGAACTTTCCCCCTAAAAACAGGGGTGAAAGTAACTTCCCCCAACAGTAGTCTGCTTTTCTTAATTTCCTCCCTCTGATAACATTTTATGAAAATGGTAATCTTAATGAAGAGTACTCTCTTAAATATTAAATGGGAACATTGTAGCAAGGAATAAAGTATAAGTAAATAAATATTATTTTGCAATAACTTAATGTACTTTAAAACATCAGAGGGTAAGGCTAATACTGGTTAAGGTTAGAGAAGCCTATGATTTTTCTCTTCCCATGAAAATTTACTGTTCATGAAAGACAACAATTTTGACAACCTCTGTGGTCAAAGTCTTTCTCTTACAGAAAGGTGTTTGTCTCCCTGAACAGTGAAAGCATGCTCTCCAATCTACCTATTCTTTTTTCCTCCCAAAAGAGATTGAGGTATGTGTGTGTGTGTTTTAGCAATTGAAGGCTATGACCCTTCATTTATCATTCAGTTGTTTAGTGATTTCTTTATTTCACTGCTAGCTTGAAGATGATACAACCTCAGGGTGAAAAAGTCTTTAGCCACCTTTTACTAGTCTTTCAAATTGTTCCTTACTACTAGACAAAATATGTTTATAAATATGATATTTGTTTATTTAATAAATAAGTGTATTGTTATATTATCTGTAATATAGTAAGTCTATGTAAGTTGTTATATAAATGTAGTTTATGTAAATATGAATTTTATTTATGACATAGTGTAAAAATATGAAGTTTATTTAAAATAAATATAAGTTAAAATGGTTTTGTATTAAATATCTATATGGTTGGATGTGATCATGTGAAATTACTTCAGCAGTCACTAGTGCCCCATATTTCCAGCCTTAATAAGATATGCCAGTGCTTCAGAGAACAAAGGAAGAGAGCCACCTCTGAGGCAGTCTGTCCCTATTGAAGATGTATATCTTATAAGATATGATCACATTAAATCCAACCAAAAATTCTAGTCATGATTAAAAGTATCTTAGAAATATTTTCTACTTCAATCACTTATTTCTTCTAAGAATAAATTCGTTCAAAAACAATAAATAAATTTGTTCAAAAACAAGTTTTCCGGTTAGACTTCTGTGGGTATACCACTGTAAGAAAATTCCAATATGTATGTATTCGTGTTGTATAATGATTTATATTCTTTTTATTTTATGTAGGTGTTGCTATAGCTCATAATTTCTCTAACTTTAAAGTTTACTTTTGTTTACCAGTAACTATATGTAGCATTTATCAAGTGACTTACTCTTCACAACAGCTAAAGTTTGTGTGCTTCTGTGAGATACGTACTAAGCTAAGTCTTACACATGAACAGATTATTTAATTTTCACAACAGTCCCACAATGTAAATACTGTTTTTGTACTGATTCTGTGAATCTGTTGAAATTTAGAAGGCATCAATTGGTTTGACCTGTTCATTTGATATCTTATTTCAATACCAGTATTATAACTGTTAACAAAAGGTTCAAAGATTTTTCTTTTTTACCCACTCTGATAAGTAGTTTTGCTGCCTCCTCTAATCAGTCTGCAAAAGTGAACCTGTTTGCAGTAGTACACTTAGGGCATAAGAAGCCTGATGGTTTATAATTGCTAAATCCCAGAGAGCAATGTAACTGGGACCAGAACAGGTTTTTCATATCAAGTCAGGCAATTCTGTATCATTTCTCCTAGGTGATGGAGGGTCTCTTTAAGACTGCCACAATGTCAATTCTCTCCAGTTGTCCTGAAGATATTGAACTATGTCACAAATTCATAGCTCCTGGCCAGAAGGTAATTAGTTTTGTGGATAAAGCCCAATACAGCTAATCTAAATATGTTAATTATATATGGTAAATATAATTACATTTAGTAAATTTTCATTTTTCTCTTTTCTTCACAAGGACAGACTAGAACATATGCTGAAAAACAACTTTTTAATGTAAGTAAACATCTACTTCTGAACATTTTTCATGGTTTATCATATTTGTAATACTGTTTTATAAATTTGTTGATTCGTATACCTGCTTATCACGTTCCCAGACTTGAAGAAGGTCCATGTTTTAATGACATGTATAGTTCATGTATCTGGTTTGTAGGTGCTAATCTATGTTTTGTGAATAAGTCATTCCAGGAAAAATGAACATAGCTATTGTTAGTTACATTAATACAATTCAAAGTAATACTAACTTTAGTGATCAGAATTTGGCTTGACTAGAAAATAAACTTTTAAAATAAGCACATGTTTTGTCTGCCCTTCAGTTTTTGTCATCTGCCATGTTTTTTTAACTTGCTAAAGTCTGGAAATATATGCTAACAGTTTTTAACTACTTCTTTAAAAAAAAACGTAAATGTCATTTAAGTATAACACATAATTTATTACTTTATTTCCATTATAATCCTATTTAGCTAGTACTTGATATTGGAATGATTATTCATTGCACCACTGGTATTAATCAGAAAAGCTGTTCCTTTTCACAATTTATTATAAATCAATAAATCCTTAATGTGAAAAAATGACAATAAGCAACCTCTTCATATATGGTATAAACAATTCAATATATTTCTGGAATATGTAGAAAACTGTGATACTCAGAAGAATGGAAAATTCGTTCTGAACATAGTATTGCTGGTGTCATTCTTCACTTAACATCTTTTTGGATCTAGGAAGTTTTTGTTCTAAGAGAATAAAGAATTTAACCTGTTCTTGAGAAAAAGAATAAGAAAAATTTGGCAGACTTTTCTAAGCTGAGAATTTCTAGTATCAGCCAAGACCTTTGAGCTACAAGTTAAAAGTGATGACTTGTTGAGCTTGAATGAACAGCATGGTGCAGACATGGGCCCAGAAAAACAGGAGAGTCAGGAGCCTTGTGGCAGACAGGCAGAAGGCAAAGAAGTATCATGAAAGGTTTTGAGGCTTATTTTCTTTCACTTAAACGTATATTGAATACGTGTTAGAAGCCAGCTTTTGTGCTATAATCTAGAAACTATCTTAAAGCAGTAAACAAACAGGTAGCATCCCCCATCTTCCTTGAGCTTACATTTCTGGCACAATTCATCATAGACATATCCTCTGTAAAAATGAACAGAAGACAAAAGAAGAGTAAAAAAGTAAGAATTTTAGATAGTCTGGCAGGGAAGATCTCACTAAGGTGGTTTTGAGTAAAAACCTAAAGAAAGTAAGATAACAGAAGTAAGGACATGTAGGGAAAAAATAATTCACACACAGGAAATAGCAAGTGCAAAGGTGCTGATGTGAGAGCATGCCTGGTATCTCCAACAGGAGTGTGTAGGGAAAGGGGTGAAAGAAGGTAAAGAAAGAGGGGGATGGAAAATCGTGTGTATCTTTAAGGTCACTGAAAAGTCTGGGGTTTTTGCTTGGGTGAGGTGGGAAAGTTGTGTTCTGTACAGAGGGCTGACTAGTTCGCATAGTGTTTAAGGATCATTGGCTGCTTGTTGAAAATAACTTGTAGTAGGATAAGAGTGACAGTAGAAAGCCAGGTAGACAATTATTATAGTCAGCCAGGTGAGCATAAATGGTGGTGTGGGCTAGATATTGCCAGAGAAACAAGTCCAATATGGTATGTATATATAGAGAAAGAGTTATTATAAGGAATTAACTTATGCAGTTCTGGAGGCCTGGCAAGTTCCCTTAAATCCTAATAGAGTACTTCCTATTGGAGTAGATATCCAAAGGTATCTACCTAATTCAAAAGGAAACCCACACACCTGTGTTTGTTGTATTTACAGTAGGCAAGATATGGAAACAAAATAAATGATCAAAACAGATGAGTGAATCAAGAAGATGTAGTATATATACACAGTACTATTCAGTAATCAAAAAAAGACAAATGCATGTCATTTGTAGCAAAATGGATAGAATGGATTGGATTATATTAAAGAAATAAGCCAGGAGAAAGGTAAATAACGTATGATGTCACCATACTGCTTTACGTTATATGCCAGACTAGGTGACTTGAAAACATTCCTACTACATCTAGAGCATCTAAAAATCTTAATTAAAATATAATATTCTGGACTCTCCCTGGTGGCACATGGGTTAAAGCACAGCATTATGAAGTTCTACAAAGCCACTGCAGCACGAGTTCAATCCCTGGCAGGGAGCTGACCCACATGACGTGGCTACCTCTCCTGACCCACCTGCTGCTCCCCTCAGCAGTGTTCTTTGTCATTCTGCCTGTTCTGCTCCCCTCTCTATGTCTGGTGAATCCTCTCACCCACCACACCTCTGGCCTGTACCCCAGTTCTGTAAGCATAAATAAATCAATCTTTAATATATATATATATATATATATATACACATACATATACTTGTATATATGTGTGTATATATATATATATATATATATACAAATATTCTTTTAAATGCATTGTTGAGTTCACTAAAAAAGTAAGAGAAGAGCTAGAAATGAAGAGTAAACTGAATAAGTGACAAAAGGCTGCGGAGTCCTAAAGTGGAGGGCACAGGATATAGTAGGTGGTTTGCCAGACCTTGAAACCAGAGATTTCAACAGCCATCAGAGGACAGAAGAGTAGACCCAAGTGTAATGAATTAGAATTGAGATAATGCCTCAAATACGTACATGCATAAACACACATGCATGCACAAAAGATACTGTAGGATTTGCATTCTTTTGAATACATAGATTTCATTGTATTTTTGAACACTGACTGTAATTGTTTCATATAAAGATATATTTTTAAAGTATGTTATATAATAATTGAATTAAGGCTTTATCACACAAAAATAGAATTCAGTTCCTTTATAATGTTATGCTTTAAAAAAAATACAGAATACCTTTTATTTTCTGACCATTTATCTAGTAATAATTCATTTAGCTTACTCTAATAGCTTCAGAATAATTTTCTTTACGTTCAACAATAAAAATTTGGAATATAAAAGTAATTTGATACTGTATCATACAGTAGTACAATGCCTTCTCTATTCTCAGCACTTTGGAAATAATTTCTGGAAAAGAGAAGAATTGTGATTTTCTATATATTCAATATACCAGGAAAAAATAGCAGAAAGAATTGGCAAGTCACTAAATACCCAGAGTCAGAAATGTAATTTGAACTTAAAAACTCTGCCTCAAATTATTATTGAGGCAGAAGACCACATCCCAAATAACCAAAGATATTTAGACATGAAAAACCTTTTTCCTAATAATATGACAGTAAACATATCAAAATCCCAGTGCTTCTCTTTTGATTGCTCTGTATTGTTCAGTATGAGTAGATCATATCAAACAATTGATGGAATTGAACAATTGATGGAATAGAGTGCCTAGGCAGAAAAGAATTTTAGACAATATAGCCCAGTCTTCTTATTTTACCAATGCAAATAGTTTATTTTTTTCATGTTTGATAGTACATTACAAAAATTTATAAAATGCTTTAAGACAAGTGATTTACGTAGCTAGTAAGTGGTAGAGTCAGGAAGAATCCAGAACCCATTACCTATTTTGATTGAATATATGAAACTATATGGCTTATTATCTAAGCCATTAGAAACTTAGACTCTGGAATCAGCATATCAGGTTATACTTATATGGGTGATTTTTTGACAAGTTATTAATATTCTCCTAGTTTTAGATTCCCTTATAAAATGCTTATTTTAAAATTACCACTAATTCCAACACCACCACCATTCTTACCTAAGAAATGTCTTATTATTTAATACTTGAATTTAAGTACAATTTTTTTTTAAAGATTTATTTGTGCATACAGAATTGGGGTGCAGGCCAGAGGCTCAGGGGCGGTGAGAGGCTTCACCAGAGACAGAGTGGGGAACAGAACAGGCAGATCGATGAAATACACTGCTGAAGGGAGCAGCGGGCGGGTCAGGAGAGGTCTGCCATGCCATGTGGTCACCTCTGGGGCAGGCGGGAATCGAACTCATGAGGAAGCGGCTCAGTGCTGTGCTTTAACCTGCTGCGCCATCATGGAGGGCCTAAGTACAATTTTTATCTTAGAAAAAAAACTATTCAAAACAAAGCTTTGGGGCCTTTAATTTACTTTAAGATACAACTCTTTCTAGTTAATTACTACAGGTATGCACTTCATTTTTGCTTCAGAGAAGTTTGTGTTGAATAAGTTATATTTTGAGCACAGAGTTCTTCAGAAAGTTTGTAGGCTTTTAAAAAATATCATCCTAAATACTGTGTAGAGGACAGAGGAGAACCTAAACTTTCATATACATTGGTGGGCATAAAATCATGCAACCTGTAAAAAAGGAGCAATAACTTTGAGAATAGATAAAATTTGCAAATGCAGGTACCTTTTGATCCTACAATTCTGTTTTTTCCATGTACAAAACTAATATGTAAGAATTGTTTATAATAGCATAGAGTAGATGTATGCAATCATGATTTATAACAAAGTTTGGAAATAGCTGGGATTTCCATTAATAGATGATGACTGGTTAAACTATTTAGGATACATCCATATGATAGAATTTTATATAATAACTTTAAAATGAAAAAAAATACTGGTACTAAAAAATCTGCAAGGTATATTACTGAGTAACAAATATTTCAAGGAGTGTGTCTGTTATATCCACTACTGCCATCTACTAAATTAAGTAGGAATGGAAGGGACATATAGTTAACTTTTAAAAACCTATGTGCACAGTATTACCTACTCAGTTAAATTAAAATAAACCCTAGGTTTGGTTTGCTTTAGGTATATTGGTTTCTTACTAAAATAACCAATAATATTTTTCCTGAAGTCTTAAAATGCTTAGAATATGTTCTGAAGCCTTTATCATGACCTGAAAAAATCTATAGGATCTGACCTCTGGATACCTATCAAATTTCCTAATACTCTTACCCTTGTTCAATATGCTATAGTCACATTGACCCATTTTTCCTTGAAAGGGCCAAACTTTTCTTCACTTTAGGCCTCAGTACTCACTGCTCTTTTAGCCTGGAATACTTCCCCCTCAGATATTTATGTGGCTCAGCTCCTTACTTAGTGAAGTTTTCTGCTCAAATGTTGCCAACTCAGTGAAGATTTCTCAACCATTTTACCTAAAATAGCTCTCTCAAACCCTCTGAATTCTTGCCTCATTTTTCTCTTTATTGCCTCAGCAGTTCCCTGCCATTATATTTCTGTTTGTCTTTCTCCCACTCCCCACCCTTTCTCCGCACTACCCCTCTACCACACACACACACACACACACACACACATCAGCTCTATAAGGTAGAGGCTTTGTTTTATTTACTGTACCTCCCAAACCTAGGACATAGCAGTTGCTCAATATGTTTGTTGAATAAATGAATGGTGACTTCAAGGAAAGACTTGCTCTTTTAGCCTCAATATTTCATACCTTTTATTAGGACATTGGCATAGCATGAATTGAAAGAAAATCTCTATTTTCTAAAGTAACCATCTCCTCTGTGTGTTTTAAACGTAGATCAGGAGTGGTGTTATCAAATGGCTACTTCTCTTCTTGAGGATCAGGCTTTCCTAATTATTTAATGATCTCTTAATATTCATTTATGACTTCAAAGAGTGTTTGGAAACTGCCTTTCTAGTTCAGCAAGGCTAGTTAACAGTAACATGGTTGAATTAACCCTTCTCTGCTCTTGCCCTATTTCCCTCTAGCATTTCTTACACTGAAGCAGTGGAGATCTTAAAGCAGGCATCCCAGAACTTCACTTTCACCCCAGAGGTAATACAGTATGTTTCCTACTTGTTCTTAATTATTTCATTAAGAATCATTTTAAATAATTTAATTTTTTATTAGCGATGTGCATATTTCTTCATGTGCATTCAGCTTTTGTTTGTTGTTTGTTCAACCTTGTTGAAATTGATTAGAATAAGCAGTAATTTAAAAGTAGAATCATATCACTTGGAATAACAGTGACTAAAAGATTACGAAGCTGATTTCCAGTTTAAAAAAATAAAAATCCTAAAAAAGAATGGTCAGTGGTCATCATAGAAATCATTTAGGTATGTCTTTTCCAAAGTATATTCTGAATGGTGGTAAAAAAGTGCCAGATAGAAAAGGTTATGTAACCAAATAAATGTGGGTGACACATTAATCAGGTTTTGTTTTTCTATTGAACTCTATAGAGCCTCCAAAGGATCAGATAAATTGTAAGAATGATCTTCAGAATGAGAGTGGGAAATACACCCGTGATGGTGCATGGGTGAATTGGTGGTGGGAATTCTATGGGGACTACACCTGAGAGGAGAAAACAAACATTGTAAAAAAAAAAAGAAAAAAGAATGATGATGTAAAAAAAAAATATATATATATATATAAATAACACTAATATTTTTAAATACATCTTTTATGGCCAAATATGGCCAAGATATAGGTAGAGAGGTCACATGATGATACAGGGCAGCAAGGGGCACTAAACTAGGCTATAAACTAGGCCACAAACACTGTCCAAGTAGTTTACGGGTAACTATTTGAATTTTTCACTGGTGCAGGCACAATTACAAGACTTCTCAGGTTTAGGGAACAGAAAGAAAAGAACTTATTTAACAAACTGGGGGAGAGGAGGAAACAAAGCATACTAAGACCATTTATGACCATTTACTTTACCCAAAGCCATGTCCAGTATTTTCTAGTCCCTCACAAAGGCGGTTAAAATGGTGTTTTGCCACTGAGGACTTGGAGTTCCTCTCTAAGATGGCGTCTTCTTGCGACTGTGGACATGCAGAAGCCAAACTATGGGCCAAGACCCAACTTACAAACACAGCAAAAGACAAAACAGCTGTAGTGGCCAGATAATGACAAACAGCTGTACTCACACATTTTTAGCAAGAAGCCTGGCCCCTAGCTCTCCTTTTATCCTTGACATGCTGCAGGCAGGGAGACCACCGACTCCCAGGTCTCCTGTTTCCTTTCCAGGCCTACCAAAACTATTCCAAAGCAACTGCTTGGATAAAGCCCTATACAATGGCCGCTGTCACACAGCCCGCACCCACAAAGCCCGCACCCACAAAGCCCACATGGAGCTGCCCCTTGTCCACTGCCATCACGTTATCCAAACGTTGCCACACCTTATCACGCTGCACTGCAGTGGCCCAGGCCCCCAACCCCAGGCCAGTTTTACAGTCCCTCATATTACTTACCAGTCATTCCACCCCACTTTTAGCATTTTTCCTTGAGACTCTCTATTTTCACCAGCAAACCCCTGCAGGGGGCACCACCTGTAACAGTTTACGTTTTTTTAGCCACTGGTTGCCACCAGTTAAAGATTTAATGGTGGGAATGTAAAATGTTAGAGGTAAGTCTCTTTTCTATGTCAGTGCTTCTTGCCTATAAGTAGAATATGCCATGGGATTAATAAGATACTGTTTATAATCAATCAATTTCTTCATGTAATTGGTTATTTAATGTTTGTCTCTTACTTTGGAAGCTTCATGAAGTCCAGAACTCTATTTCTTACTTATATATCCAGTGTCAGGTATATTCCATGATACCTGCAATCTAATAGGCACATTACTTTTTGCTGAGTAAATAGATGAATTGATAGTATTATTAAATATTCATCAAAGAACATCTGATATGTGAGTTGACTCTTTTATTAAAAAATAATTCACTTAGAGAAGCATTTAGCCAAAGATTTAATATTAGGAATATTATCTTTCATCATTTAATTTCCTGAGATTTAGGAACAGTAACTGTGGAAGAAGCTGTAGGCAATATTAATAAAACTGTGACTCTGAAGTCAGTTTTCATACTGTGGAATGTGCACTTTGTTTTCCTGTGATGCTATTCGTCTGCTAGAAGCTGCTTCTGAAATGGGGACAGAAAACACAGTGTTTATCTACTATTTCAGCACCTATCTTTTCCAAGCCTTTGGATCTTCTTGTTAACACATCTCTGTCTGGTTTAATTAGTCATTTGTGTAATCTCAGCAGACAGTTCACACAACATTGAACCTCAGGGAGAAGACCTTGAAACTGACACAGGTTATTTTCAGGTACTATATTATATGTTTCTGCTCTGTCTTCTCCTTTGCTAATTTCTTTTTTCTCATTACAGTGGGGTGTGGATCTACACACTGAACATGAAAAGTATCTAGTGAAGCACTGTGGCAACATACCAGTCTTTATTGTTAATTATCCATTAACGCTCAAGCCTTTCTACATGAGGGATAATGAAGATGGCCCTCAGCACACAGTAAGAAATTAAATAAATCTTCTCAAAGTCTGAGTTTTTCCCTCGGTTTAATTGCATTACTCTTTGGCATGCTTTCTTAAATTACATCTGTCACTCTTTTCCTCTTAATATGATAAACATTTCTAAAGCACCTCTTAAAAATCACTCACAAAGAAAAATCCCAGTGTTATATAACATACCCCTCATTTCTATCACAAGATGGTGGTCTTAGCTTAACATATGTGAATATAGGTGTCTTCTGTTTTCCTTTGTTTTTGTTAGTTTTGTTTTTCTGTTTTGTTCTATTCTGTTTTGTTTTCTTTTAAATAACTGAGAGGAAGTAGCCTAGAGCACTGTTTAGCAATATCAGGTCTATCAAATTAAATACTGGCTAGGAGGCTGGAATCTGGGTAGAGGAAATATGCTGGGCAAGAGATGATAGTGGCATGATCAGACAGAGAAAGAAGTAGCATGACAGAGTAGGAGGTATAGAGTACTTTGTTTTGGCTATCAGAAGTAGTGAGGGGAAGGCTGTGGGGGAGGAGGTCTGGGCAAGTTCTGCTGTCAGCTGGCTTTTGTCTCCTCTCTCGGTCTTATCTCTGCTCTCTTGAGCCTTCCTGACTGTTGTTTTCACCCCTTAGTTGAGTTTTTATTCTTCTGGTTCCTTTTTCTTTTCTTTTCTTTTCTTTTCTTTTCTTTTTCTTTTTTTTTGTCTTCTCTCCTTTACAAAATTATCAATAACAAATGGTAAGAATATATTTGACCCTTTAACTATTAATTGAATAGTTATATATACTTTATATCATTAATTATAGAGATCTATGAGACATGTATGTTTATTTCAAAGTATCTCCAAAACTAAACTTTGCTATCTGGTTCTTTTTACTTGTCTCTAGATAAATACTGGTAGCACAATGTTGATCAGGAACCTCTAATAAATAAAATGTCCTCATCTTAGGTATGTAAGATTATCTCTTTGAACATATTTCCTGTTTTCTCTTAAAGTATCACTAAAACAATACTAGTCACCATCTGGTAGATTCCTGTGAGTCAAAGCATGAACATCTCATCTCTAAATCCCAAAACAACCTTTCCAAGAAACCTATTATTTCTCCCATTTTACAGATGAAAAACTGGGTGCAAAGGGATTGAATTTCCTGAGGTTGGCGAGAGTAAGTGACAGCACTGGTATTCAAACCTGATCCCCTCTGGCTCTGATTTCTGTGTTATTTTCTAATCTATCACTAGTTATACTGCCTCAAAAATCACAAATAATATAAAATTACATTTTAGCTATTAAGCTTCTCTTCCTACCTTCTATACAGTATTACTGAAAACCAGTGAACAACAAGTTGATTTTTTTTTTAGCTGAATTATTATAACTTTTTTCTCCAGTGTATTGTTTTATTTTATATTAGATACACAATCTTTTTTTTTTTTTCAAGGTAACATTGGTGTATGTGATTCAAAGGTAATAAATCACCTCTTGAGAGGCATGTCACCACACACACCTGCCACCAAGGCACCCATAGAGTGTCACCACAGTCCTGGAGGCTCTCCACACTTTGCTCTGCACCCCTTAACTCAGCAGACATAGTTCTAGGCTTGTTACTGGATTTATTTTGATTGACCCCTTGTTTAATTTCTTTATATTCCACATGTAAGTGAAACTGTGCCATATTTTGTGTTTCTCCTTCTGACTTATTTCACCTAATTTTCCCCCTCCAACTCCACCCCCGTTGTCACTAATGGCAAGTTTATCTTCTTTTTTTAATCACTGAGTAGCATTCCATTAACACAGTTGGTTTGTGATTATCACTTTATCATTCTCATCTTCTGCCCTGTGAACCCTCTGGTGGAACTGACTATGAGAAGTCAGTTGGCTCACAGGTTGGCAACAGAAAAGGAGGAACAACTAGAGCACAGATCATCCAACCTTAAATAATTCAATATTGAGCCTCCAACTTGCAATGGAATTCTTAAATCAGGCACTCTCACATTTTTGTGTAATAAAAATAAATACATTTTATGTATTCTTAGATAAACCACCATATATCTTTGAGTCATAGTTTCCCATTTGCTGAAAGTGAGATGATGATAGTGTCCAAAATTATACAGATTAAATTAGTTAATATATGAAAAATATATAATAATATGTTTAAGTGGTAGATAGTCTGTGTGATAATACATTCCTTTCTAGATTTTAATCTTTATTGTGATGAAGCACATATGTTATAGCATCTTTGTATGTGCATATTATCACATCATAACATGCTATTACATAAGATTCCTTAAAAGGCATAAACTGCACTCACAAATACCTTTTACCTTTAGAAGTACTAGGAGAACTTCACTATGGCAAATCTCTCTAGTATGTGATCTTATAGCTTGAAACTGACATTATAATGGGGCTTTAGTATATTCTACAATTTATGCAGTATAGCTTCTCAGAGTTAAATTATTAAAATATAGTTTACTTAAATTATACACATTAGAGGGCCTCCCTGGTGGTGCAGTGGGTTAAGACGCAGCACTATGAAGCAATCCATAGCCACTGCAACATGAGTTAGAACCCTTATCAGGGAGGTGACCCACATGGTGCAGCAGACCTCGCCTGCCTTGCCCACTGCTCCCTTAAGCCATGTATTTGAGTCAATCTGCCTGTTATGCTCCCCACTCTGTCTCTAGTGAATCTTCTCATCCTCTCTACTCCGCCATACCTGTGGCCTGTACCACAGCTCTTGTATGCACAATAAATAATTCTTTAAAAAACTGTACCCATTAGAAATAGACTGTAATATTGATTTATTAGCAACCTGGAATTACTTCAACCTACTTGTGTAAAATGCCTTCTTCCACCCTAATTTTATTTTTTCAGTGGTGAATGAATGTACTTTGACCAGATAACTTAATCCTGTGTTTCTTACATTAAGGCTGTGATCAGAGGTTACAGGTAGGGTTTCAAGAATTTCTGCAGTGGGTGCAACCTAAAAAATGAAAATATTTGTTTCATAGTTCCCTCTGTAAGAAAGGACAGGAAAATGATTAACCTGTATTGTGACATTTGGCCAGAGGTAATAAATGTAAAATAGTATCTTTATTTTTTTCCCATCCCTGCCCTAAAATGGTATCTTTTTAGAGTTAAAGTTTCTTCCCTATCTCTCTCCCTTAACCACATCCCACCCAAGAAAAAAAAAGAAAGAAAATGAGAAAATGAAGTTATGCACTGTGATGTAGTTAGAGGTATGCTGGATTTGAAATCCAGCTCTCATACTGGTTAACTGTGTGATATTAGGTAAATCTTTCCAAACTCTGTCTTATTCCCCCCTGCCCCTATAAAATCAGAGAATTAGTTATATGACTGCTGAGGTATTCAACCTGTTCTAAGATTCTCTAAATTTGTCCTTATTTGGTATATTAGAATAATAAACATATTTGATAATTTGAAGGGAGCATTTCATGGACCTCAATAAAATAGATCTAAGCAAATATGCATATGTCATATGTCCCTGACTGAGTCCCTGAGTAAATCCCTCAAAGTCTGATGACAAATTATTCAGATAGGAAAATAGTTCCATGGGGAATATCCATTCATTCCAGCCCTGTGTGACAAGGAAATTTGATTGCACAGTGGTCCATGATGAGATACCAGTATTACTAGATAATGTTTCTAATTTTAAAAATGTATCAATATTAATTAGAAAATCAGAAAAATGTTAGTGTTAGTGTAAATTCAATAAAGTATACATTTGTGAAGCCACCTCGGAAGGCAGAATAGTCAATCAAGGGTGTTATGGGTTTCCATGGATTGGAGCTTATTAACTGACCTGTGTCGAAATAACTTGAGCTTTAGGCTAACAGAAATAGGGATAAAGGGTAGTGCCAATTTTTCCCATGTTTAGGACTGATGATAATCCTGGGACTTTATGTCAGAATTGAAAGTGTATGTTTTAGTCCATCTCAAATATTCCCAGACCAGCCAAAATTCAACCACATGGCTGGTTACCTTAGCCCATCTGCACCTTCACAATGTCACAACTGGAAGGCCCTCTTTCCTAGTGGTACCTTGTTGTTTTCAGCACATAGAATGTGTCTGTGTCAGCATATAAAGCAAAGGCTTGTAGAGGCTGAAACCACAAGTATGTTTCCTATGATTTGTGGAACATTCCTCTTCTTTTGATAATAGTATGTAATGTTGCCTCGTTGTTGGTAGCAGCCTGTGAGAAACCAGATAAGGAGGCGTTCAGTTTATGTTTTTCATCAACATTGAAAAACGCTGAGATAGATAGAGGAGAGATAGCACAGGGACATTAAACTCTCTTTGAAGACAGCATACAAAATGTAGTGTATTGAAGGCCGTTCCTATCTAGCCTAACTGTTTTTTTAATTCAAAGCCTTAGTTTTATTTTCAGTACATTGTTTGGAATCAAAGGGTAAGAATCAAAAAGGAGTGTCATAAATAGAGTTCAGGGTTTGTTCAGCTGATACCGACGCAAACTATTTCTAGACAGCATGCCCCTGCAGCTGTGTGACTGGGGCAAAATCAAAACTCATACACATTATATGAAGATAGTCCAGGCAACATTCTGGCACAGAAGATGTGCCGGGAGTGAAATACATTCCGTTAGAACAAGAAAACTTTGCAAAGAACATAGTAAAATTTGTGGCCTTCATTGTTATCTGTGTAGGAGCATGAAAGAACAGCAGCCCTCCCCCTTACTTGAAGATCCCAGAGAGTCCTAGGAGCACCATGGAGAATTTAGCTACAGAAGTGTTCAGATTTGGTCAACTTTGAATTATGTGGGTGTTTTCGAGTGCAACCAGTGAATTCTCACTCTCCCTAATCAGAGGCAGGATTTCTTCACCCCGGGCTTTTGAAGCCAGCCTCAGACTCCCACACACCGCAAGCCAGCCTGCCAGCTCATACAAGCAAGTCATAGTTACCAGCTAATGTTTTAGGCAACTTGCATGCCCTTCCCTCACCATGCATCACTTAGTAAGCGTGTAGCCAAGTAGCTCAC